ATCATTGCCTGTTGGGGTATTCTCCCCTCATTGTTCTTGCCATGGTCAGAAATATTCAGAATTTATGTCTCAAAGTGAATATAATTTAAAATTAAGTTGGATTTCAACTATTCAGAATAATTGGAAAAGGCCACAGCCTGGTGGGTCTCACAGCTTTTAGAGACCTGGTAGGGGATGGTTAACAGGTTCTTCTGCCAGGAGACAAGTGGCAAACGCAAATGTGAAACTTTTACAAGTCCCACCAAGCCTTTCTTACGGAGCTCTGGGCACAAGGACAACTTCTGCAGAAGTGGAATGGGGTACTTTGAACAAAAAATACATACAACTTCCCCACCTGCCTCCAGCTTAGTAGCCCATATTCCTCTGTCCCTCTCACACTGAGCCAGGCCTGACTTGAATGATGAAATGCATGACCTGTCTATCTTCCTAGCAAATGGGAGGTGCTGTTGGCAGTAATTAAGAAATTAAGAAGCTCCTTGTGAAACTGTTTTTGTGATGGTAACAGTGAACTCAGGGAGCAGGTGTGGTGCCTTGTTCAGTCCTCATTTTCACCTGCTTGAGCAAAAGCCATGTAGACAAATAAAACACTTCCTGGTGGTGACCTCATGTTACTCCACAGCATCTCCACCCAAGCACCTGACCAGCTGTGACATTCTTACATGCAGTATTCTGTCCATGCCTGCTTGCCTCCTGCCCCTCAGGGGCAGCCAGTCCTTCTCCCTCAAGGTCCTATCATCGCAACATCATTCCCCCTTCCCGTTCTTCTCAGATTCCGTCATCAGCAAGGTGCATTTCTTGTGCCCTGTGTCTAAGTTATCTTTCTGTGCCTCATAGTTGCCCCTAGGTGGAGCTTCCCAAGGAGATACCTACCGGATGAATGAATGACATAAAACTAAATGCCTACTTGTGATCATCAGCCCCTGTCCTAATCCATTGTTTATGCCATTGTCTCAAGTTCTTATATGACTATCTTCTCAGGCTAAATTCTGATTTTGCAAGTAGTGACTCTGTGCCATTGTGTTGATAGAACAATAGCAGCCACCTTCCAAATTCAGAGAACAAACTGTGCATCTTATCCACAGGAAAAGTAAGTTTTTCCATGTGTTGCTTTAGCTGGAGAACTGAGAGAGGAGGTACTTTGTGGGAAGTGGTTAGTCCCATGTTTGGCTTTCAGATTGGAGCATGGACATGGTGAACGGCTTCTAGTTCTTGAAGAATGATGTCAAAAGAATGCATTTGGGAATGGAATAGCTGCAACTCGAGTTCATAACTTGTCTTTAGTTTCATTTTTGTGGTCATGTTCCTGTGTCCCTAACGATGAAAACTGGAGATAACTCTTTACAAGCCCAAATTCTTGGATAAGGGTGAATTATAACGAAGAGATTTCTGCAACAGGAGAAGTAGTATTCATGTTGAATCTGGTCAGATGTCACCTGTTTTTCCCTTGGGTGACTTTGCTTGAAAAAAATCAAGGCCCAATTGACTTAGTCATGTTGGTGAAAAAGAAGGAGCCTTTATTTTGCGTGAGTGGAGATGTTTCCTCTGTTTTATCACTTAATGGATTAAATAAGTAGGTGGGGTCATGAACACCTGGAGAGACTGCCTCCCATGCAGCTGCCATAAACTTCTGCTTTCGTGGGCAGAAAACTGTGTGATACCTGGAGGACAGAGGTCAGTTCAGCATTTTGTACCAATGTTATTATTAACATGGGCAGTGCCAGGTGCTGTGGCAACCTAGGTGGCAGGTATAGTTCCAACTCACTTGGAGTTTTTTTTACTGTTGGGGTTAAGTATAGATTTTAATTCATTTATTTGGAATCAGGTACTTAGAGTAATAAGATTAGGCGACTGTCAGATATATCAGAAGCAGGTAGTGTTGAGATTGTATGACTCTTCCCTCCTGTACCCTGGAAAAGTTTTCTATAGAATATCTCGGTAGGGTCCTGGGATTTTAAAAGTAAGTGTGTGTGTGTGTGTGTGTGTGTGTGTGTGTGTCTGTGTCTAAAGATCTAGGTATTTGGGGATGAAATGCAGTGTAAAGTGTCCCTCTACTGTTGAGAATGTTAGCAACAAATTCATTCATGAAGCTAGGACCCCACTTCTTAAGTATAGAGATTTATTTTGTGTACATGTGAAAATATATCTTAGCCTATATTATATAAACACTAGTTTTGCAACTTTGGGATTATTTGATGTTTAAAAGCTTTCTATTTCATTGTTGAGCGAGATTCTAGAAAGTCCCAAGTCTCTTATAATTTTAATATCATCTCTAGCATCATGTTAAAAGGAAAAAAAGGTTAGAGGAGACACTTTCAGTTGTGAATTATGCTTTGATTATTCATGGCTTTTGTCAATAAAATATACCTTTGATAATTTGTTTTGTGTCACATACTACCAGTACATTAAATATGGTAAACTGTTCAAATTGTGAGGTAGTTTGTTTTTAACTTCTCTTTAAACTTGCTCACGTATTCATAGATGGAGTAGCCTTTTTTCTTTCACTCTACATTGCATTCATAATGAATCACCTGTTTATAAAGATTAGTAGTCTTTATAGAGGAGTGGACGCACACAGGATGACTGTAATATTAATCTGTTTGTACATTGACCAAACAAGCATATTTTATTTGGGGGTTTTTATGTGGACATTTCTTTTTGAGATTTTTCTGAATCACATTTTTGAAATCCCTTTTCTACCCCTTTTTGATAGACTTTAATTAACTAATGCAATTGTGAGGTTTTATTGTACATGTTTTTATTTGTTTTAAATCTAATTTGTTGACTGTTTTGCCTCTGGTGGTGTATGTACCTTAGTATGTATGGTAGTGTACATTTCTTAGAAATTTTTTAAGTTTTACTTTAGGACATAACATTTTCTAAATTTATATCAGTATATTTCACTGATATACCTAGTTAAGAAATTCATTAGATTGCTATTTGTGTTAATACACATTTCTTATTAATATTATTTATACATATAAACATTAATAAATATGTTGAAATAGATCTTTAAAAATGATGTAGATCAAATGCTAAACATGAAAAAATACAGCATTTTTATAATAACCTGAATTTCAGTTTATTTGCAGAAAGAAGTTTGCTGACATTTCCAGGATGTAAATCTCTCATTTATAATTTCTTTTATCAACATCAGCAAGTTAATATATTTAATATTTCTGTATTGGAATGAAAGGAGACATTAATTTGAATTAACACTAAATACATTATACAGTATCTTTTAAAAACAGTCAGACTATCTGATTTAATGATTATGAATTTAATAGGTTGAATACATTTCTTGATAGATGAGTTGATAATATCCAACCCACCTTCACAATTAAATATCAAGGGTCTATTCTTATTAACAACTTCTTTAAGGCTGAGTAAACATGATCTTAATTAAACTCACAGATAATACTGGGGGATGCTGATTGCTGCAATGCAGAAAATAAAGTGATGCAACCTGATTTTAAGAAATTATAAATATGGGACTGTTGACAAATGATAATAAGCAGCAAACATCTAAGAGAAGATCAACTCCCAAGTCCGTATTGCCAAAAGAAATTGGGTTTGGTTTTGAAATGTATTATTTGAATATTTAGAAATGTTATCTCACTATACCTAACTTAGAAGTCCAGTGAAAATTTCTGTTTCAGGAACCTAGAATAACAGAGGTCTGTCCTGCATTAAGAAGGCCTTGCAATAAACTCTTTTTTTGTGTGTGTGACGGAGTTTTGCTGTTGTTACCCAGGCTGGAGTGCAATGGCGTGATCTCAGCTCACCGCCACCTCCGCCTCCTGGGTTCAGGCAATTCTCCTGTCTCAGCCTCCAGAGTAGCTGGGATTACAGGCACGCGCCACCATGCCCAGCTAATTTTTTGTATTTTTAGTGGAGACGGGGTTTCACCATGATGACCAGGATGGTCTCGATCTCTTGACCTTGTGATCCACCCAGCTCAGCCTCCCAAAGCGCTGGGATTACAGGCTTGAGCCACCATACCCGGCCCTGCAATAAACTCTTAACGGTGGTTGAGGGCAGCACAGTATAGGAGGATAGAGGCATAGAGCCCTGAACCTTGTTATAGGTGAATTAAATGAGATAACTTGCTGGGTTTTATTACCCTTCTCTGACTACTGTATTGCTAATAGAGAGTGAAGGGCCAATCTGTTTTGAAGAAAGCAAATGAAAATAAGATAATATCCACTTCACCATTTTGTATTTGTCTTATTCTTTGAGGTTTGTTAAAGTTACTTTGAAATCAAATTAGCCATTTTATAACTTCCTACTAGCATAAACAGGAACAAATTGTTGCCTTGTGCCCATGTGTAGTAATTTATTTCAATGCTCTGGATACTCAGGAAAAAACTAGTAGCTAGCATGCTTGTGAAAGAGGACCACCACTATTATTTTAATACACTGGGATCTGATTTTATGATCCTAGACCATTTACCTTAATAAAGAATTTGTAAATGCTGTATACAAGATGAAAAATGGATGAGTGGTGAGATACATTTATCTTAGGCATCAGCTATTCTATTGACAAAAGGCACAAATAAGAAATTTGTCTAAATAATTAGATTTTTAATTAGCGCATCATTGTAAGATTAATGTCATTGCGCTTCATTGCATGTAATTTTGTTTTAGAAATTTTGTGTCAACAAAGATGCTACCTGTGGTTTGCTGATTTGAATCCTTAATTTATCACTTGTGTGTATGGTGTGTTGCATATTTGCAGTCAAGAGCTGGAAGAAGGCATTTGATTATTGCTCCACTGGTGGTGAGGAATATTGATGGTGTTGTGCTATATGAATACATTATATTTTCTAATTTTCAAGAGGCAGCCACCCCTCCAATATTCATGAATGCATAATTGTAATAATTTTAACAATAACATGAGCAGATAGGTTGTGAACCTGGTCCATGTCTACCTGGAACATGCTTGAACAACATTATTGATGCTGTATTCTTTTTAAACTTTGCTTTTTCTTTCCTTCTGATAGTTGCCGAACAAGCAACCGGAAAAGCTTGATAGGCAATGGGCAGTCACCAGCATTGCCTCGACCACACTCACCTCTCTCTGCTCATGCAGGTAATTGATTACCCTTTCTTGAGTTTTGTTTTATTTATTTGTTGGTTTTGAAAATAATACATTTTGAGATTTGGTATGTCTTCATATGTTATCTTTGTGTTCCTGTTGTTTTATCCCTAAGTTGTTGTTTGTGATATGTTAACCCAAACCTTGTCCTCTCTGAGTGTTTGGACTCTGAAATACAGAATTCCTTTTTATATGGGGTCCCTTTTCAATTATTTCTTTCTCTATTTCTAAATGCCTGGATTATACGAGACATGGTTTCCATGTTAGGAATATCCTTGGGAAATGTAAACATGATAATTCGTGTGAAAAGTATTAATGTTAAGAACTATTCAGCATATTTCTCCCTAAAATTGGACTTGTCTAATATCTTATGGTAGTCATTTTAGGGACAATGAAGATTCAAGAGATGAGATCTTTGACCTCAAGTACTTTATCGAATTATAAGGAATGTTAGAGTTGTACTATAAAAACTAGACAATGGAACCTGCTTTATATGGGATGTGTGTGGTTTTTGTTTGTTTTTTTTTTTTCATAGTTCTAGCCATGCTGATGCAAAAAAAAGAGAAGGGTCAATTCCGAAGGGAAAGTCTAGAAGGGTTTAAAGGAGCCATTTGCCCAAGATGTTGGAAGATGAGCAAGACTTTGTTGACAGGTAGAGTTGGAATAAGAGAAAGGGAATTCTCAGTGTATGGCTAGAGTGTGGGATGTGTGTGCTTCATTAAGAGAACATAAGATTGGAGAGGCAGAGGAAGGTCAGGAAGTGGGAGGAAGTTTGACTTTGAATGCCTTTGAGGGTTTAGAGGAGGATCTGTGTTACAGGAAGGTATCTTCAGGACTGTAAAGGATAAAGGTCAGAAGGATGAGCTCTTAGCCCTATTTCACTGTACTCTTGTGAAAACTCTTAATTTGACACTCATGTGTTCTCAGATGATCTTCACTTCATATTTAAATATATGGGTAGCACTCTCACCCAGAAAGCAGCTCTTAAGCTCAAGGGACCTTTCAGTTGAGAATGGGAGTTGTCTGTTATATTGGGGAGAAGAAGGGAGAAAGAAGTAGTTGCTCCTTTAGAGTGAAATTTTATTTTCTCCATAGAAATAATTTAAGGTGGTGAATTAAAAAGATAAAAGATAAATAGGAAAAATTATGACAATGTAAAATGACCGCTAATATCTATAAAGGCCTCTTCCAGGTAAAACGTTAGAGTTAGAGAAGCTCTTAATAGATGAAGACGAGTTCTAGACTACTCACAGCAGCATCATTTGTAATAGCTAAACATTTGAAGTAACCTAAGGATTTATCAGTTGGAAACTGGTTAAGTGATTTGTAGCATAGTTATATCCAAAACACTTGTGCACATAGGAAACAAGTGAACACTGCTCAGATTTGCGTGGATGAAACTAAAATATATTGTTGGACAACAAAGGCAAGTCACAAAAAAATATTATGTAAGCCTTTCATATAAAGTTAACATGCTACATACAATATTTTATTTAGGGATATGTATGTATAAAATATATATTACATGTCCTAAAATACAATGTTTATGTAATATATAAATGTATATATTATATAGTCACTATATTATATTTTAGACATTTTTATGATATAGGAGCCTAAAGGAAAACATGGTAATGTTAAATACCAATTTCATGGTAGTAGTTACCTCTGAGAGGGCCTGAGAAGGATATAATTAGGGAAGAGATGTAAGCAGTGGTAACATTATATTTCCAAAGCTATGTGATGAGGATACATTACTTCTATTACTACCATTTCTGTTTTTGAGACTGATATTACACTACTATCATTAAAAACCCTACAGACGGTCAAACAAGGCCAAATACCTTAATTGGGACATTACTCCAGCACCCAGCACAGTGCCCAGCAGTGTATGCTAGATGCTAGGTGAATGATAGATTCTATTTTTTAGTATATAATTTAGTGATGTAAAGATTTAAATTTCGTCCTCTTTGTAGTATTTATAGCAATTTCATCATTCTCTATGTGCTTGTTGATTAGTCTTTTATAGCTGTGATTTTCTTCACTTCTAATATTTAGAAGACAGAACATGTGGTTAAGACTTTAATGATCATTTTATTTATTTTCTTTTCTCTCATAGAGAGAAGTTCTCTTAGCTTAAGTTCTCTCTCCTTCAACATTAATTTAGAATTTAATCAGAGGAGTAGGCAGAGGGAAGCCTTTCAGGTTCTAAGAGTGGGTTTTTTTCTTTTTTGAGATGGAGTCTCCTTCTTTTGCCCAGGCTGGAGTGCAGTGGTGTAATCTCAGCTAAGTAGAATCTCTGCCTCCCAGGTTCAAGCTATTCTCATGCCTCAACCACCTGAGTAGCTGGGGTTACAGGCATGCACAATGATGCCTGACTGATTTTTTATTTTCTTATTTTTAGTAGACATGAGGTTTTGCCATGTTGGCCAGGTTGGTCTTGAACTCCTGAGCTCAAGCAGTACTCTCACCTCAGCCACCCAAAGTGCTAGGATCACAGGCATGAGCCAACGCACCCAGCATTGCTTTTCTTTGTTACAGAGCCAACAGGGTGTTGTTCTCTCAGAGGCAGTAGAAGCCTGCCAGACATTCTGTGAGAGTAGATTCCTATTTCGTTATAAAAAGAAGAAGAACATGTGAACACAATACAGGACCAGGCCTCAAGTCTTGATAACATGCAGTGCCTCTTCACCGACCATGCCTTTTGCCTCACCCTTTCTGTTACTATGCTCTCTCTCCTGCCTTGGACACAGAGTGCCAGGCGAGGCTTTCTAGACATCTCCAGCCAAACAAGAGAATAAAAATCTTCATCTCTCGGCACTTACTAACCTAAAAAATAAAGTTGCACTTTCTGTTTTTCTTAGGTAGGGATTACATGAGCCAGGCCACTCATCATTGACACCTTGTTTGTACCCATCAAAAGCATTGGTAGAGATAGGGACATTAATTTGTGTACAGGTATCAACAGTGCTGTGGGTGGAAAGAGATACTGGCATGCACAGTGCTCTGGAGCATGTTTTCACAAAACAGTGATTGTGGGGAGGCATGGATTCCTAAAAGAACAGTGAATAGGACAATCTCATTAAAAAAAAAAAAAGAATGCATAGAAAATCAGAGGCTTTTAGTTCTGGGAAGATTCTGAGCATGAAAAATAATCCAGAAGTCCCAAAGGGAAAAAACTAGTGTGTCTCTCCTAAAATGAAAATTTCTGTGTCATAATCTCAAAAGAAACCAAGTAGGAAAAATTGTGCCCATAACTGATTGCTAGTTTACATGAAGAAATTATGTAAATTGATATGAAATGGTGAATGCACCAATAGAAAAAATGGGCAAAAGGTGCAAATACCATGACATAGGGAGAAAATGATCAACAAAACATGAAATGATACTTTATTGCAATTATTAAAAAAATGTGGCCAGGCACACTCACACCTGTGATTGCAGCACTGTGGGAGACTGAGGCAAGAGGATTGCATGAGCCCAGGAGTTTGAACCTAGACAACACAGTGAGACCTCATCTCTACAAAATTTCTAAAAATTACTAGGGCATGGTGGCACATGCCTGTGGTCCCAGCTACTTGGGAGGCTGAGGTGGGTGGATCGCCTGAGCTGGAGAGATCAAGGCTGCAGTGAGCTATAATGGTGCCACTGAACTCCACCCTGGGTGAAAGAGATAGTATCATTCACCTAGCATGGTGCCAAAAACCTTTTTTAATTGATAAAATTCAGTGATAGCAAAGATGTGGGAAAGTGGTCCCTTTCCCATGATCTAAAGGTTGATGTGAATTAGTGTAACCATTTAGTTAGTGGTTATCAATATTGGTGAACATTTCAAATGTGTTTACCCTTTTGCCCGGCAAATTCATGTAAAGAAATTTATCTTACATATATTCTCAGGGAATAATAGAAAATTATAAGTATAGGATTGCTTGTACCTAGCAAATGGAAAAGTACCAGCTTTTTGTTTAAATTGCTCTTCAGTAATGGACTAGTTAAGTAAATATGATTCAGGGGTATAACCCAGCACTAAATAGTTGTTACAGAGAACAAGGTGAGATTTTCTGTGCTGGTATTGTAAAGATACACAAGATACATTGTTAGGCGAAAACACTGCATGTTGTCATTTCAAGTACATGTGTGTTTTAGAGTGTGTATACACAGATGAAAGCACACTTGTATACCATGCATAGTCATAGAAATTTGCAGAAAAAGAAAGGAGGAACCATTAAGTGTTTAGGGAATAAGAAAGTAGAGAAATTAGCACATAGTGCCTTTCTAATAAAAAGAAACCTCTGAAAATAAAACCCAAGGCGAAGTGCAGTGGCTCACACCTGTAATCCCAGCACTTTGGGAAGCCAAGGCAGGCGGATAACAAGGTTGAGAGATTGAGACCATCCTGACCAACATGGTGAAACCCCATCTCTACTAAAAATACAAAAATCAGCTGGACTTGGTGGTGTGTGCCTGTAGTCCCAGCTCCTCAGAAGACTGAGGCAAGAGAATCACTTGAACCCAAAAGGCGGAGGTTGCAGTGAGCCAAGATTGCGCCACTGCACTCCAGCCTGGTGACAGAGCAAGACTGTCTCAAACAAACAAACAAACAAACAAACAAACAAACAAACCACAACAACAAAAAACAGTATGATATTTGCAGTAGTTTTCTTTTTTTTTTTTTTTTGAGATGGAGTTTCGCTCTTGTTACCCAGGCTGGAGTGCAATGGCACGATCTCGGCTCACCGCAACCTCTGCCTCCTGGGTTCAGGCAATTCTCTTGCCTCAGCCTCCTGAGTAGCTGGGATTACAGGCACGCGCCACCATGCCCAGCTAATTTTTTGTATTTTTAGTAGAGACGGGGTTTCACCATGTTGACCAGGATGGTCTCGATCTCTTGACCTCGTGATCCACCCGCCTCGGCCTCCCAAAATGCTGGGATTACAGGCTTGAGCCACTGCGCCCGGCCATATTTGCAGTAGTTTCTATTGCTGAGTAAGAAT